TAGACAATAGACAAATAAACCCAACAAACCAGAAATAAAGAGAATAAAATAAACAAAACAGAGAAAAAGCACCTGAGACTTAATGCCCCTAAAATCACAAAACACAATACCAGAAGCCATACTATACAAGCAAAAGACTAGTTTAAATAAGTTTCAACAATCCACTACGAGACAAAAAGTCTCCAAAAGTATCATTGAATTCCTTCTGTTTTATCTATCTACTATCTACTGATAGGCAAGTAGCCTATCCTTAGTCAGGATTATATATAAGGGAGATCCATTGTTGCCAACTAACTTTTCCCTTTCAAGTGTTTGTCAATTAGAGACAGATTTCTGGTTAGGGATGGGAGCTAATGTCTGATTCCCTCCTAGAATTGGGAACCCACTTGGTTTGAAACTTTGCAGTACTTGTTTGTGATGCTATAGTCTCTCTTATTTCATATATCCTGTTGGATGTGGAAGTCACTGATTGCTTGATACCACCTATTCTATATGGCTCTTACAATCCTGTCTCTCCACATAATTTCCTGGGTGCTAAAGGGAGAAGTTTGATGAAGGTATCCCATGTAGACTGAGTGTTCTGAAGGCTCCCACTATCTGCACATTGTATAATCCTCGGGTTTTGTTTTAGTTCCCATGTCCTGCAAGAAAAAGCTTCTGTGAATACACCTAGTCAAATGATGCCAGATAGGAATAACAGAATACCAATAGAAGTCATTTTATTGCTATGATCTTTAGCAGAAAAATAGTATTTGGTTTACACTGGGACCAATCTAGTCTATTTTTCTTGGCCACTCAATTAGTGTCAAACATGTATCCCATCTCATGGAGTGTGAATTAAATCCAGAGAGTGTTTGTTGCTCCCACAAAACGATGATGCTATTATAGCACCATATCATAAAAAGAGTCTGCCTTTGTAAATTGAAGTGTTTGTAGCTAGGTTTGCAGTTACATTTCTCCTCTGGTATTATACAGAGTACTTCACAGTACCATGAATACTAGTCAATAGGGATGAAGTCTCTAGTTAGACACTAACTTGACTTTGTTCAATGGATCAAAGACCACAACATAAATTCAGCCACACTGAAACTCTTAGAAGAGAAAGTGGGTGGTACCCTTGAACGAATTGGTAAAGATGACAGCTCCCTGAACATAATACCAGTAGCACAGACAGTGAGATCAACAATTAATAAATGGGACCTCCAGAAACTCAGAAGCTTCTGTAAGGCAAAGGACACAGTCAGCAAGACAAAAAGGCAGCCCACAGAATGGGAAAAAATATTCCCTAATCCCACATCTGACAGAGGGGGGTTGATCTCCAAAGTTTACAAAGAACTCAAGAAGCAAGTATCCAAAACACCAAAGAATCCAGTACTAAATAGAGAATTTTCAATAGAGGTGTCTAAAATGGCTGAGAGGCACTTGAGAAAGTGCTCAATATCCTTAGCCATCCAGGAAATGCAAATCAAAACAACTCTGAGATACCATCTCACTCCTGTCAGAATGGCTAAAATCAAAAACACCAATGACAATTTATGCTGGAAAGGATCTGGTGAAAGGGGAACACTCCTCCATTGCTGGTGGGAGTGCCAACTGGTTCAGCCACTTTGGAAATCAGTATGGAGATTCCTCAGAAAAATGGGAATAAACCTACCACAAGACCCAGCAACTCCACTCTTAGGCATATATCCAAAAGACGCCCATTCATACAACAAAGATGTCTGTTCCACTATGTTCATAGCAGCATTATTTGTAATAGCCAGAACTTGGAAGCAACCTAGATGCCCCTCAACCGAAGAGTGGATAGAGAAAATGTGGTATATTTACACAATAGAGTATATTCAGCAGAAAAAAGCAATGTAATCCTGAGATTTGCAGGCAAATGGATGACACTAGAAGAAACCATCCTGAGTGAGGTAACACAGTCACAAAGAGAGAAACATGGCATGTACAATCTCATATATGGATTTTAGACATAGATCTGGGGAGTGCCAGCCTACAATCCCATGGCCAGAGAGTCTGGGAAATAGAAACTTCATTCAGTGGCTGATGGAAGAAGAGGCAGACTCCCATGGTTAAGTACTGAGCTGAAATCAAGAAAGCCAGTAACAGAGAGGGAGCACTGATGACCAAAGGGATTAAGACGGGGCTGGTTTAACCCCCAGAAACAGCTGACCTGACAAAGGTTAACTCCTGAATCCCAAGCATCATCCTGGGAATCCAGCATGAAACTGAACAAGACCCCCTGAATGTGGGTGTCAGTGAGGAGGCCTAGGTAATCTATTGAGCCTTGGGCAGTAGATCAGTACTCATCCCAGTATACACACGGACTTTGGACTCCCATACAACAATGTGAGATGCACTCTTACCCTGAACGCTTGGGGGAGGGTCAAGGCCCTGCCCTGGATGAAATGACAGACTATGGACACCCTCATGGAGGGCCTCACCCTCCCTGAGGAAATGAGGGGATATTGGGGGTGTTAGGGCTAGGGCAGGAGAGGAGGGGAGGGAAAGGGAGAGGGACCTGGAAATTGACTTGTGAAGCAACCTTGTTTCTAATCTAAATTTAAACTGAAAAATAAATAAAAAAGTGGGGTACAGAACTAAATAGGGACTCTCAATGGTGGAGTCTACAATGGCTTGGAGACACTTGAGAAAGTGCTGAATATCCTTAGTCATCAGGGAAATGCAAATCAGAACAACTCTGAGATACCATCTTACTCCTGTCTGAATGGCTTAAATCAAAAAATATGATGACAATCTATGCTAGAGAGGATGTGGAGAGAGGAAAACACTCCTCTACTGCTAGTGGGAGTGCCAACTCATAAACCCACTTTGGAAATCAGAATGGACATTCCTCAGGAAAATGGGAATCAGTATACCACAAGACCCAGCAATTCCACTCTTAGGCATATACCCAAAAGATGTGCATTCATACAACAAGGACATCTGTTCCACTATGTTCATAGCAGCATTATTTGTAATAGCCAAAACTTAGAAGCAACCTAGATGCCCCTCAACCCAAGAGTGGATAGAGAAAATGTGGTACATTTACACAATGGAGTTCTACTCAGCAAAAAAAAAAAAAGGAATCTTGAAATTTGCAGGCAAATGGATGGCACTAAAAGAAACCATCCTGAGTGAGATAACATAGTCACAAAAAGACAAATATGGTATGTACTCTCTCATATACAGATTTTAGACATGGATTAGGAGAGTGAGTGCCAATCTGCAATTCTACTCACAGAGAGTCTGGTCAACACGAAAGAACCTAAGAGAGGTATGCATGATACCCCAGAGAAGAGCAATGAGGCCAGATATCCTGAACAGATTGGGAACACGGTGGGGGATGGAAGGGAATGAGAGCTTGGAAGAAGAGACAGGGTGAAGAGGAGGAAGAGAAAGTCATGGGGGAACACGAAAGTTGAGTGGAGAGTAGTATAGGGAGAGAACAGGATATGAAATATCATAATAGTGGGAATCATAGGTTTAAAGAGAGATCTGGCACCTGTGAAACCTCTCTAGTGATCTAAAGCGATGACACCAACTGGCAAGCTAAGCAATAGTGGACAGACTACCTTAAATGCCCATTCCTGATAATGAACTTGATATCTACCTTATATGCCATACTTTAACCTTCATCCAGTGACTGATGGAAGCAGAGACAGACACCCCGAGCTATACAGAGGACTGAACCCATGGAACCCAGTGACAGAGAGAGAGGAGAGTTGAGCAAATGGGCTAAGAAGGGGCTGGCGATACCAGGAGAGACAGTTCAACTGAACAAGGGGAGAGCTCTTGTACCACAGACCAACAGCTGGGAGGCCAGCATGGGACCGATCCAGACCCTCTGAATGCGAGAGTCAGTGAGGAGGCCTGGGCAACCTATGGGGCCCTGGGAAGTAGATCAGTATTTATTCCTGGCATACAAATGGACTTAGTGTGTCCATAACACAAAGAGGGGTGCTCTGTCTGCCTGGACTCTTAGGCTTAGCCTGGACCCTGCCCTGAGTGAAATGACAGACTCTGCATATCCCCTATGTGGAAGGAAGTGGGGATTGGGTGGGAGGCTGGGGGGGAAAGGTGGGGGTGGGTGCCGGAGTTGGAGAGACATGTGAAGCAAGCTATTTATAATTAAAGTTAAAAAAATATTTTCAAACATGACTGCTATACAATCCTGTTAATCAGGTCCCTAATCACAGAATGTAGTACATAAGATAAAAGGTTTATTTTTGTTCAGTATTGTATATATACAAGTAGAATATTTTGTATAAGAATGGGACGGAGAGCAAAGAAAGAGACATTTGATAGAGCCACTACGGGGTTAGGAATAAAGCTGGTGCTAATAAAATTCCCAAGAATTCACAAAGATGACCACAGCCATGACTCCTAGCAATAGTGGAGAGAGTGTGTAAATGGAACTTCCCCCTTTACTTAGATTAGTAACTACATGTCACCATAGAATCTACATCCAGTAACTGATGGATACAGATGCAGTGAACCAGTGCCAAGCATGGGCTGAGTTCCAACAATTCATTCTGAGACTGGGAAGAGGGAATACATGAACAAGGAAGGTCAATATGATGATGCAGAAATCTATAGAGACAGTTGCACCAAGCTCATGGAAACTGATGAAGTCTAGACTGACAGCTGTTGAGACTCCATGGGACTAAACTGGCCCCTCTGTATGAGTGAGACAGTTGTGAAACTTGGGTTACCTGAGGGGCCCCTGGAAGTAGAACCTGGAGCATGAGCTAGCTTGTTGGAACCCATTCAGTATGTTGGGAAACTATGCTCAGTCTTAATGCAGGGAGGGAGGGACTGACTGGTCCTGTCCCAACTTAATATGCCAGAATTTGTGGACAACCCATGGGAGCCCATACCGACCTGTTGGGAGGAGTGGATTGGGGAAGGGCTGGGGGGATTCCAGTGGGAATGAGGAAGGGGTGGAAGGGAAAACTTTGTTTACACTGTAAAATGAAATTAAAATACTAATAATAATACTTATCTGGCAGCGGTGATACCGTGGTCATGGAGGTGGTTTTCCCAGTGCAAGGCTTATCATTCATTGCACTTCAGAAATACTGACCGCTGCAATTTCTCCAAATGCAGGAAATTCAACTGCATAATTTGTGGTAGTGGGGAACTGTGCTTGTGCTCTCCCCTGAAAAAAAAATTTTAAAAAGGATTTAAGAAAATAGAATGTCAGGATATTAAAGGGTACATATAATAAGGGATTGTGAGGGCTTGGCAAGGAGTACTTCTTTCTTTGTAAAAAAGATAAAAAAATAGAGTGATGAGAGAGAAAAGGAGAGTGTGGGTGCAACAGGGAATATGTGAGAGAAAAGGCATCAGGAAGTCAAAAGTTACCGTTTGGATTCCAGGTTACACAGTTCTTTTTCAGGGATGTGCCCTGACTTTAATCTAAAGTATTTCCAACTAAATATCACCTGAGAAAGAATCTGAAACCTCTGGAACTAATATATGATGTAGTAAGAAAAGAGATTGGTAGATTACATACAATCTTTTAATTCCAATATGCTGGTTAGTAGAACACAATCAATTTAGGTCTAAACTTGTCAGTAGCCAATACAAACCGGAAGACATTATCATTTTGTTTGTCTACAGTGTTTTTGAGATAAAAGCAAATCTGACACTTTATACAAGAATTATTGTGTTCATTCTAAAATAACAGAAATTTCCCCAAGAATTCTTGCAGTGAAAAGATGGCACTACTGTAAATAGTTTGAACAGAATTTTATAGTGTACTTTAAAATGTGTTTCATGGGCATATTTCAGGTAAAGTGGAATAATTACATAGTGGCAAAACACTTCACTGAGTGTGATTGTTAGGGACTCTAAAGCAATACAGAATGTAAATTTATCTTAACTTTGCCTTTTATTCACATTTAAACTTTCTCTTCTGCTTACTACAGAATGGAGTAGCCCCTAACATTTAAAAATTGTAATCTTTAGAATAAACAGTAGGTGAAACTATCACCTTAACTGTTTTTGTAGAATGTAGTTATATAAGTACAGAGTAGGATTGAAACTTTTAATTGAAATTAGAAAAAAATTCCACTGGAGGAAAAATTGTTTCCCTGAATTAGAAACTGTCCTCTGATAGCTTGGAGAAATAGAAAACATGTTGTGGTAAATCCAACCAAGAAATTGAAAAAATTGCGAAATAAAACTTTAAGACACTGAAGAAAATGTCAGAAAGTTTGTCCATGAATCAGGAGGATTACTAAGGTAAAAATTACCATCTAACCCAAACAATCTACATATTCAATGCATTCTCCATCAAAAGTCCAACACAATTCTTCACAGATCTTGAATAGACAATTTTTAGCTTCCGATGAAAACACAAAAATGCAAGATAGCTAAAAGAATCCTATAAAAGAACTCCTGAAGTCATCACCATTCCCAATCCCAAACTGTACTACAGTGCTACAGAGCTATAATAATGAAAACAACATAGCATTGCCACAAAATCAGACTTGTTGACAAAAAGGATGGATTGCAGGAGCAGACATAGTTCCATACATTTATTCACACTTATTTTGGTAAAGAATCGAGAAATACATTTTAGAAAACAGACAGTAGCTTCAACAAATTGTGCTGGTCAAACTGGATGGCTATACTTAGAAGAATGAAAATACACCCTAGGTTATCACCCTGCACAAATCTCAGCTCTAAATGGATTCAGCTCTAAATGTGATGGCAGATGCACTGAATCATATAGAAGAGGATGTGGGGAATAGTTTTGAACTCATTGTCACAGGAAAAGAGCACAAAAAGCACTGGAACTAAGAATATAGTTCACATATGAAATTAAAATCTTCTTTATAACAAAGAACAATGTCATTTTGAGAAAGTAGCAGGCTACCAATTAGGGAAAGATTTTATTGGCTACACATCCAATAGAGGGATAATATCCAAAATATCTAAAAAACCAAAAATAAGAACTATAATCTTAACAATAATTTTGTTAGATGTAGATTTAATGAACTATAAAGATGCAGTGATGTCTCTAGGAAAAGCAAAGTGATTACATAGTTATGAATGAAGGAAGGCACTTGAAAGGATGATCAAATGTGGAGAGGAGTGATGAATCAGATCAGAAGGGGACAAGTTGGGAGGAACTGAGATAAGGCAAATCATAATGAGAACACATTATATTATAAAATCTGTATTCCACAAATCAAATTATATCATGCTAATTTAAAACATTAAGTTTGTATGTAACATGGATGCTGAGGTTCTAATGTCAATGACTAATGCAGAGCTTCACACAAATTTTCTGCTACAAGTAAAGTAGAAAATCAAATTAAGATTATCTATTTAAATATTTACAAATGAACTAAGGTTATTTAAATCCTGTTTCTTTTCATTAAGTCTTCTATTGTTATCTCTGGAATAGAAAATAGGAATAAAATATAATTTATAACACTATAATATTAAATTTTGTAATAATATAAACTATGCAAACATATGTATTTGAAGGTTTTAAAAGTTTATAAATATGCTGATAATATTTCCCAAAATTACTAATTATTACAAGTGACTAATCAGGGATGAATGACTTAGTCACTTCTTTGAGAACTTACTTTTCCTCTATATCCCTCCTTTTTTCTATTCTCTTTTTCCATTTCTTTCTCTCTGTCTCTCTGTCTCTGTCTCTGTCTCTCCCCCTCTCTCTCTCTCTCTGCTTTCTTAACTGTGTAACTACACAAACTATTAAGACATTTTATGTCAATCATAAATATATATGTGTATGTATACATACATGCATATTTATATAATACTGTATCATCATTGATAGAGAGTTATCAGCATTTACATCAGGATTAATAACAAAATAAAAGTAGATACCTGAAATAATTATGATTACTAATACTAGAATGTGACAGTGTATTTCTGACAATGTCATGGTCTTGCAAATATTCTTTGCAGCATGGATGCACAGAAATGTATTACATTAGCAATTACAGACTTTGCCTGGATGGACACAAGGGGAACTTGTAATAATCCAAAAGTTCTTAGGTTAATAATCTTTGAAACATTATATTCAAGAAAGTATCCTGTTGCTAATTAACTGCTAATTAAAATCATTCTATAGCATCTACCCTTTAATAGAATGGCTGTGTCTCCATTTTCATGGAAGCTGTTTCTGTGATTAAATAAACTTATGTAGAACATGTGACGTTATCCACTAACAGATAATCATGTGTTGCCCTTTTCTCATTTTTATTCAGTGTTTTTCTTAACGACAAAATTTTACTTTAGAAGGAATAAGTAATGAATGTAGTTTGTAGTCTAAAATAACCCGAGTCTTGTACTAACAACTCTCTATGTCTGTTGGGTCTTCTAAAAATAAGGTTTAATTATTTTTCACATGAAGTATAATTATGTATGCTGCCCAACATTATAAAGTGTTCTGGCTAAGGGTAGAGTAGAGAGAAGTCCATTGTAATTGTAAATTTCTTTCATATCTTTGCTGGTTTCTCTAACCAAAAAAGAATATTGCTGTGACTTTCACATGTTGAGAAATTATAACTTTGGATAAACATTCCCAACAGAGAAAATGTCAACTCCAAGTTGCTACATTTGATGACTGCATTTAATAATCTGTTGTCCCTAAGCAATCATGTGCACAGATTCAGAACTTCACTAAAATAAATGATAATCCCTCCTATTTTTGGTAGGCAAGAAGTTATATAAAATGTTTAAATGGTCTCTTTTCTACATCTATTAAGCATCTACGCCCCAAATACAAAGGTACCTACATTCGTGAAAGAAATATTACTAAAGCTCAAAATGCACATAAAATCTCACACACTAATAGTAGGAGACTTCAACACTCTGCTCTCACCGCTAGACAGGACCTCCAGACAAAAACTTAACAAAGAAACAAAAGAACTAATAGAAATTATGACCCAACTGGGTTTAACAGACATCTATAGAACATTCCACCCAAATACAAAGGGATATACCTTCTTCTCGGCACCACATGGAACCTTCTCTAAAATTGACCACATAATAGGAAACATAGCAAATCTCCACAGGCACAAAAAAATTGGAATAACCCCCTGCATCTTATCAGACCACCATGCATTAACATTAGAATTCAACAATAACACAAATCACAGAAACCCTACAAACTCATGGAGATTGAACAATGCAAATTGCACCATCCCTGGGTAAAGGAACAAATAAAAAAAGAAATTAAAGACTTCCTCGATTTCAATGAGAATGAAGACACAACATACACAAACTTATGGGACACTTTGAAAGCAGTGCTGAGAGGAAAGTTTATAGCACTAAGTGCCCACATGAAAAAACTGGAGAACAGTCATACTAGAGAATTAATAGCACAGCTGAATGTTCTAGAACAAAAAGAAGCAAACTCCCCCAGGAGGAGCAGACGCCAGTAAAATAATCAAATTGAGGACTGAAATCAATCAAGTAGAAACCAGAAAAATACTGAGAAGAATCAATGAAACAAAGAGTTGGTTCTTTGAGAAAATCAACAAAATAGATAAACCTCTGTCCAAACTAACCAAAAGACAGAGGGAGAACATGCTAATTAACAAAATCAGGGATGAAAAAGGGGACATAACAACAGACTCTGAGGAAATCCAGAGACTCATCAGGGCATATTTGAAAATCTGTACTCCACAAAATTTGAAAATTTAAATGAAATGGACAATTTCCTGGATAGATATCACTTGCCAAAACTAAATCAAGAACAGACAAACAATCTAAACAGACCTGTAACCCCTAATGAAATAGAAGCAGTCATCAAAAGTCTCCCAAACAAAAAAAAAACCCAGGCCCAGATGGACTCAGTGCAGAATTCTACCAGAAATTCAAAGAAGAGCTAATTCCAATACTCCTCAAAGTAATCCACACAATAGAAGCAGGAGGCTCACTGCCAAACACTTTCTACGAGGCTACAATTACCTTGATACCCAAGCCACACAAAAACACAACTAAGAAAGAGAATTATAGACCAATTTCCCTCATGAACATTGATGCAAAAATACTCAATAAAATACTCGCAAACCGGATTCAAGAACACATCAGAAAATAATCCACCATGATCAAGTAGGCTTCATCCCAGGAATGCAGGGATGGTTCAACATTAGAAAATCTATCAATGTA